CATGCGGCCGCCCAGCATGTCCGGGCACTTTCTGCTCGCGCCCATCCCCGAGTCCTCCTCCGACTACCTCCTGCCCCGGGACATCAAACTGGCCGTGCTGGGCGCCGGCCGCGTGGGCAAGAGCGGTGAGTGCCTAGGGAACCTCACGGGGCGGAGCCCACCCCGGGCCGGGTCCGAACAACGGGGTATGGGGAAGAGCGGGGCTCACAGCCCGGGGAGGAGGACAAGGCACAGGGAGGAAGCGGACATCCCCTCCCTCCTGGCTTCCCCACTGCTTCCCGAGTAACCTTTTGTGGGCTGTCGCTGGGTTTGGCACCGTTGGAGGACGAGGGCAGGTGCAGCAGGTCGAGTACCTGCAGTCGTCCCTGCCACCAAAGGCACGGGGACCACGACGGCCAACCCGGGTTTGCAGAGTCCGCAGCCCGTTCCTCCCTCCTTCTCCCGGAGAGTGTCGTGTTTGACGGTCCTGTCCGAGCCCTTCACCTGATTTTCCTATTTCACTTTCAGCAATGATTGTGCGCTTCCTGACCAAGAGATTCATTGGCGATTATGAACCGAATACAGGTTAGAATAATTATGTGCCCCCTGCTTTTGTGGCTGCATGCTTCGATTTTCTTTGTCCTGCTGAGAGTGTAAGAATGTAAAAGCAGACTCTCCTTCATTCTCCAGGCAAGTTGTACTCACGGCTTGTGTGTGTCGAGGGAGACCAGCTGTCCCTGCAGATCCAGGACACCCCCGGGGGGATCCAGGTAAGGACTGGCGGACTTCCCTTCCGACACCCACACCGAGGGCGCTCGGGAGCATGAGCAAGACTCTCAACGGGCCTGATGTGCATTTAGATGGAGTAGTGGGCTGTTCCAGGAGGGGCCGGTCAGTGGGCTGTTAGGAACCCTCCAAGGGGGCGAGGACTGGAAGGTTGGAGGCAGCTTCCTCCAATGCGCCACCTCTGTGAGGGGGAGAGGCGCTTGCCTTCTCTTTACAAGCTGCGAGGGCAAGGCTACTGGCATGGGTCTCACCACCTCTTTCAGGGCTGGCCGCGGAACCATTAACAAAACTGACTGGCAGGGCCCTGGAGAGGGTCTTCTCCCCCAGCAGGGACTGCGGAAGTGCTTCTGTTTCTAGCTGTTCCCGCAAGTCACTAATTGCAGTCAGAGACTCTTGGCGCCTGCTCAGGAATGTAACTTGATTAAGTTAATTGCTCTCCCTTCTAGGGAGGAAAGGTCTCGTGGAAGAACTGAAAGAAAGAATTTGTTTCTGGAACATTCTCAAGAAGGACATGCTAAAAATATTTTTATGGGTTTTGGGAATAGATGTTTATCTTGGCTTATTTTCAAAGTTTTGCTTTTTCTGAGTTAGTTCCTTAAAAATTATGACATTCTGATTTGAAAGTTCTCATTGAAGTCATTCTTCAGTCAGCCTAGGTTCACCACGGACTACCTGCCCAGCAAGGAGGTTAAAAACAATGCATTGGTAACAGCTAATAAAATAAGCCAGGCAGGGACCTTGCCTGAGAATTTGCTCTTTCTACATCCAAAACCTCCTTCTGCAGAAGCAGGGCAGAATCTGAAAACTATATTTAGTGATTTCTTTTTCAACCATTGCTCAAAGTTTACTTTGATGATATTTTGAGTCCTCTCCCACTGAGGGCTTCCTTGATCAGACTCCCTTTGATCTTCTCAGGTCCAAGACAACCTCATGCAGGTGGTCGACTCCCTGTCCAAATGCGTACAGTGGGCAGAGGGCTTTCTGCTGGTCTATTCCATCACAGACTACGACAGCTACCAGTCGATCCGCCCCCTTTACCAGCACATCCGGAAGGTCCACCCTGACTCAAAGGCCCCTATCATCATCGTGGGCAACAAGGGGGACCTTCTGCATGCCCGGCAGGTGCAGACCGATGATGGTGTTCAACTAGCCAACGAGCTGGGCAGCCTGTTCCTTGAAATCTCCACCAGTGAAAACTATGAAGATGTCTGTGATGTGTTTCAACATCTCTGCAAAGAAGTGAGCAAGCTGCACGGCCTCAGTGGGGAGAGGAGAAGGGCCTCCATCATTCCTCGGCCGCGCTCTCCCAACATGCAGGACCTGAAGAGGCGCTTCAAGCAGGCTCTGTCTCCCAAAGTCAAAGCCCCCTCCTCACTGGGGTAAACTCACCTCAGACAGACTGCCTCCATTTTATTGTGCATTTGTGCAGCTGAAAAGACTGGGGGAGGGGGGAGGTCTCCTTTATAATCACACATTCAGAGTTTATTTTTATACAAACTATTGGTTTGCAATTGTATGTGTATTTCTGAAAATTCAGTGATTGCCTAGAAGTTGAAGAGTTGTTTTTTTAAATAAAACTTTTTTTTTTACTGTAACTGCTAGCCACCCTTCCATTAAAGGCAAAATGGCAACATTTCGCCTTGTTTCTTAAATGTCTTTTTATAGAAATCATACTTGCACCAGAGCCCAGAACTGCTCCATGCTTGCCCTCAGTCTGAACTCTGATTGGTGTCTCTCTGTTGGGAGGGGTTTAAGTGGAGGGAATGTGTTGTGGGAGAAAGAAAAATATGTGGAGGAGGAAAGAGATTTGAATAACTGCAGGATGTCTTTAATTAGGGCACTTTGCCACAGGCATGAAATTGACATCATTTGATTTCCACTGTGCAATAATGTTAAAAATTACATCAGTGCAAATGGTGTTTTGTTTTTTAAATAAGGGTGGGAGAATAAACTTCCACTTGTACCAATAAATAATAATGTTATGCTGCAAATAACAAGTGACAAAAACAAAAAAAAACATTTTACAGTATTTCTTATGTCAGTAAGTGCACTCTACCATCCAGGAGTTGCTTAAAACTTCTTTCCTCTCTGTTTCCCTGACCCTCACATTCAATAGGGTATCTGATCTGTCAATTTTTTATTTTTCTCTAAATCAGCGGTTCTCAACCTGTGGGTCGAGACCCCTTTGGGGGTCGAACAACCCTTTCACAGGGGTCACCTAAGACCATCGGAAAACACATATATAATTACATATTGTTTTTGTGATTAATCACTATGCTTTAATTATGTTCAATTTGTAACAATGAAAATACATCCTGCATATCAGATATTTACATTACGATTCATAACAGTAGCAACATTACAGTTATGAAGTAGCAACGAAAATAATTTTATGGTTGGGGGTCACCACAACATGAGGAACTGTATTAAAGGGTCGCGGCATTAGAAGGTTGAGAATCACTGCTCTAAATCATCAGTCACTATGTCTACCTTAATTCAGGCCTTTACCAGTGTAGGCAAGGGTCCAGGTAAGACTCTGGTTTTTTGGCTTATGGAATGCCACCTATCTAATTCTTTCTTTATACCAGAACAACCTTACTAAAGCCAACCCTAATCATTTTATTTCCATGATTGAAAAACAGCTGGTTTTCCCTTATTTAGTGGATAAAATATAAATGAGACATGGCATCAAGGTTATTCACCACCTCTCCAGCCTCATCATCACCTGTCAATACACACACACACACACACACACACACACACACACACACACACACCTCCATTCCAATAGACCGGTCTGCCTTTCTCAGTATACACGAGGCTCTTCCACACCTCTTTGCCTTGGCATGAACTATTCTCTCTGCCTTGAATATTTTTCCGTCTTCTCCACCTCCAATATGGCCAACTCATCTTCCAAGACCCAAGTCACATGCTACTTTCAGCCTCTGGGTGCCTTCTCTGAGTCTCCTATTTTAATTGCATTTGTGTTATAACCCAACTATGTCATGTAGCTATTTATCACCTTCTTTGGAAGGAGCACTGCTCAAGGGTAGCAACTGCATTTTATGACTGTATTCCAAGCTTCTAGTCCAGTGCTTGCACGTGAAGTGATAGGTTTTCAGTAAAAACTTGATGAATAAATGACAATGTATTATTTATTGGTGCCAAGGGACAATAATGGGAGATTACAATGACATAACTTGTCACTTTTGCAGAACAAGGACAGAGACATTCTGAGTAGTTAAAAGTTCTTTATTAGCATTGACAGAAAGTGACACATATGCAGCTTCTGGCCATTGCAGACCATTGCCCTTCAAGGACACCTCTGTCCAGACCTCTGACAGTAACACCAACTTCCCTATACTTGAGGGGCATCTACCTATGCAAAATGGCATGAATGATTTAGAAAATTAGATAATTTATATATAAGGGAATGTCCAACTATTTAAGAAGAAATATTGCTTTAGCCCGGCTAGTGTGGCTCAGTGGTTGAGGGTTGACCTATGAACCAGGAGGTTACGGTTTCATTCCCTATCTGGGCACATGCCCTGGTTTGCAGGCTCTGTCTCCAGTGGGGGGTGTGCAGGAAGCAACTGATTAATGATTCTCTCTCATCATTGATGTCTCTATCGCTCTATCCCTCCCCTTCTCTGAAAACAATAAAAATATATTTTTAAAAATATTGTTTTAGATTCCATTACCCTAAAAAAAGGACTCAATTCTCCTTGCTCATTTGCATAACCTCAGAACAAAAGGAGTTCTTTCTATCATCTCCATTCCTGCTTCCTACCATACCTAAGCATGGAACACAAGAACAACTGATCCTCCTAATCATGGTTATGCTCACAGCATGCCCAGATTGCCACCCAGTGCCAGGGGGCCCCCTCTCTACATTCAGGAAGCTAAAATCAAACATCCCATGGGAAAAAGTTAAATCATAACTTTACAGCTAAAGGAAAATACAAGAGATGTCCCAGTGCAGCCTATGATCCAATTCCAAGTGAGAACAGGAAGTACCCTTGTGCTCTCCAAGCGAGCACACTGTGGACCGGAGGGGTCAAAGATGAGTCACAGGTTAGTTCCAAAGGGAGTCACAGCCTCCAGGGGCCCCAGGAAGCTGGGGGTCAGGCAGAAAGCACCCTACCCAGTATTTTTCCTGTCCTCAGCATCACAAATATCTGGCCTCTAGGGCCCCGTAGCTTCCTTTATTTTCTTGTCCCAGAACTAGCCTAGCACAGGACCTGGCTCCCTGATGCCTGCTGTCTCTTTCCCGGCGGTCTCTTAGGGAATCAGGTGCTTGGGAACATCTGGAAAGGACCTGGGATCATAGCCCTGGAGATGGAAGAGGGGAGCAGGGAGTTATCAGGTGGTAGTTAGGGCGGGAATTTGTCAGATTTGTGGGTAGGGAAGAGGATCTGGGTTTAATTGGGCACAGAGGAGGCCCTTATTGGGGAAGCTGAGCCTGGAGCCCACCTTCCTTCCCCTCAGGAATGGGGAGGACAGGGTTGTGGGAGCACTGGGTGTCATTATGTTCCTGAGGGGAGCAGAACTCCTGAAACATTGGGCAGAACACTGAAAACTTGGGTGGGTGTGGAGAGGCCAGAGTGTACACATTTCCCCCTGGAAGTTATGCCTTAGCTCTGAGTGTCCTCATCAGAGTGCCAATCACTTGTCACCCTCAGGAGGGAGGTGGGGCTACAGCGTCCCTGCTCCTCTTCGCCCCCCCTTGCCAACCAGAGCCTCTGTTTTGAACTCCGCAGGTTTCCATTGGTCATGTCTCCTCCTTTAGTCAAGGCTTGGTCTAATTGTGCTCCAAAACTGCAGAATGATCTAATCAACATGCCTATCAGCCTGGTCCTGGAGAAATGGACAGGATCCAAAGGCTAAATTATACATCCTGCAAACATTCTTCTTTCACATGCGACTCATGAAAAGTGGACTTGAATAATGGAAAAATACATTAATTCTAACAGAAGAAAATAAATATGTTTTGCTTGTATTGAGGTGAAGGGTTCAACGGAAGATCTAAAGTTTATTAATATCCATATGGAGAAATGGATTAATATAAATAGTTGTGGAAGGTGGCAGTGAACAAAACAGCAAATAGGAAAGACAAGATAATGAATTGGGAGCTTCAATAGCTTCCCCTCCGCCATGTATGTGTTGTAGTTTCAACTCATTATGTAAAGTTACTAATTCAAATTTATGATGCAAAGATAGTTGTATGATTAATAATTTATTCTTACCATTTCATCTGTCTCCAAAAGGAAATTTTAT